GCATTTCCTTACAGAAACAAACGCTATTGTGAATTAAGTTCACGTTCTGAACGAACCTTATTCAACTTTTATAAAGCGTTTTACCGACGCCAGCACAGATGTATTCAGATATTTATAACTTTGGTGGTTCTGCAATGTTATACCAAATAGCGTTGATGGTTCTAGAGTGTTATAGTAGATAACTTTGATGGTTTTGCAGTGTTAAAGAAATAACGCTGATGGTTGTGTTGTATTATTGTAAAATAACGTTGATGGTTCTGCAGTGTTGTTGTAAATAACGTTAATGTTTCTATAGTATTATAATAAATAACATTAATAGTTCTCCAGTGTTATAGCAAATAACGTTAATAGTTCTACAGTGTTATAATAAATACGGTTAATAGTTCCGCATTATTATAGCAGATAACGTTGATGGTTCTGTAGTATTATAGTAAATACGATAAGAATTCTACAATGTTTTAGTAAATATCTTTGATGATTCTGGTGTGTTAATGTAAAATAATGTTAATAGTTCTACAGTGTTAACGAAATAATGCAGATGTTTCTCTAGTATTACAGTAAATAACGTTAATGTTTCTGCAGTATTATATTGAATAACACTGGTGGTTCAACAGTGTTATAGTAAATAACGTCGATGGCTCTACAGTGTTATAGCAAGTAACGATGATGGTCCTGCAGTGTTATAATAAATAATGTTAATAGTTCTACAGTGTTATAGCAAATAACGTTAATAGTTGTACAGTGTTATAGCAACTAACGTTGATAGTTCTGCAGTGTTATAATAAATACGGTTACTAGTTCTACAGTGTTATAGCAAATAACGTTGACGGTTTTGCAGTGTTATAGTAAATAACGTTGATGGTTCTATAGGGTTATAATAAATAACGTTAATAGTTCTACAGTGTGATAGCAAGTAACGTTAATAGTTCTACAATGCTATAGCAAATAACGCTGATAATTCTGCATTGTTATAATAAATACTGTTAATAGTTCTACAGTGTTATAGCAAATAACGTTGATGGTTCTACAGTGTTATAGCAAGTAACGTTGATGTTTCTGCAGTGTAATGATACATAACGTTAATAGTTCTACAGTGTGATAGCAAATAGTGTTAATAGTCCTACAGTGTTATGGCAAATAACGTTGATGGCTCTGTAGTGTTATAATAAATAACGTTAATAGTCCTACAGCGTCATAGCAAATAACGTTGATAGTTCTGCAGTGTTGTAATAAATAACGTTGATAGTTCTGCAGTGTTATAATAAATACCGTTAATAGTCCTACAATGTTATAGCTAATAACGTTGATGGTTCTGCAGTGTTATAGTAAATAACATTAATAGTTCTACAGTGTTATAACAATTGTTCACTCATTTATTCCTGGAACTCTCTTAGATAACACTTGTGATTATTGTGTTAAATATTTGTGATTATCATGCTTTATTGTTGCTCAGTTTCTATAAGAAACAGATTGTTACTTCTTACATTGTTCTGTGTCTCCTATATCTTTAGTTTTGTAGCTTTAGTTTGTACGCTATCATTATTGTCAAGATAGCTATGTTGAAGCTTCAGCTGTTTAATGCAGCTGCGAATTAACACAGAAGTTTTAAAATCTTTGTATTAACTAAGGATTTTTTTTTCCTTTCATCCTCTAAGAACAGAAACGTCCGTCTTATGAGTACCTCTTATTATTAATTAAATGCAACGGATGCATGATTTATTCACGCTCTTGTGTTAAGAACTGCATTAAATGAATGCTTTGTACTTCTTAATTAGGTTTCCAAACACTATACTTGTCGCTTGTTTTTGTGTTTCGTAATTAAAGCGTACAGAAAAATCTTTTTTATCATATATTCATATAAGCATATTTTTGAAGAAAGAAAATGTTCATTATTTTTTAAACGGCAGAGAAACATAATCTGTCAGATTATTCGAAAACTACTCTAAAGAATCACGTGGAAACCATTTAAAACTTATATATGGTAAAGTAAAATTGCTTTTTTTCTTGTCAATTACCTTGAAAAGTTTGAATTATTTGTTTTTATATTGTTACTTGAAGAATCACGTGGAACTATTTAAAACGCCCCCTGTGGCACAGCGGTATGTCTGCGGATTTGCAAACGCTAGAATACGGGTTTCGATACCTGTGGTGGGCAGAGCACAGCTAGCCCACTGTGTAGCTTTGTGCTTAATTCCAAATAAACGAAACCATTTAAAACTTATATATGATAAAATAAAATTGTTTTTTTTGTGAATTACCTTAAAAAGTTTGAATTGGTTGTTTTATATTGTTCCTTGAATTTTTCGTACAAAGCTACTTAAGGTAATTCGTACTAGTCGTCGCTAACTTAAAATAGTAGACTAGAGATACAGCAGATAGTCAACACTACGCACCATCAATCCTTGGGTTTCTCTTCACCAACAAATAATAGAATTGACCGCAACATTATAATGCCACATAGCTGAAAGGGTGAGCTTGTTCGGTGGCAGGTTTCGATCTCGCGACCTGCACATTGCGAGTTGATCACCCTAACCACCAGCCCAATAGGTGCAATAATTCCGTCTCTTTAAATATGAACGGTTCGTACAAGCTAGTACCTCAAAGACTGCGCAATAATAAAGTTTAAAATCAATATCTAGCGTTTATCTACAAGTCTGACTGAAAAACATTTTATATATTACATTTTAAGACATTCTTCTTTTTGACTTTTGTCTGATATGACGCAAAAGTAGATTCTATAGTAAAAAGTACACAATTATATCACCCATAGATACCGTAGAAAGTCCACAACATATGTTATCCAGTCGTGCACAACAAAATATCTGAGTTTATGTAAAACCAATGATGTTTAGAAGTTAATAAGCGAAGCTAGGTATATAAATGTAGATGTCCACGGACTTAAATGAAAAATAATGATTTTTACTTTAAAAGTCACATCATTTTGCCTAAAACGTAATTTTTACTATTTTACAAAATTTCACCAATTGAAAACGAAAAATAATTTTTCCGTAATCTTACTTTGTTCGGAATATTGTATGAAGCACATTATTCACGAAGCTGTGAAATCATTGTAAAACAAACTTCGAATGACATTAGAATCACGTTGATCGTTGTATATGTTTATTGACTACCGGTGGGACAGCGGTAAGTCTTCGGATTTACAACGCTAAAATCAGGGGTTCGATTCCCCTCGGTGGACATAGCAGATAGCCAGATGTGGCTTTGTTTTAAGAAAACACACAGGCATGTGTTTATTTCTTCGACTTTTTATTAGTTCAATCTAAATAGCCTGATATATTTCTTCAATACTAAGATATTAGGTGTGAGTTTTCATAAAAGAAGCCTCTTTAATACCCTTCTTCTCCTGACGACACGACATTTTTACTGTATCATTACTTTTTATAAGCATGTAACTACTCTAAATCTCAACTAATAATAAACTCTCTCTCATCAGACCCGGCATGGCCAGATGGTTAGGGCG